GCGCATTCTGTTTAGTACGTGTCAGCGACACAGAGATACGCGGCGGCGTTCGCGCCAGAGAATATCGAGATGGAGACGAATGACCGGAACCCACGCGTATTCCCTTATCGGGCGAGAATCTTCCGCGTGGCCTCCCTCACTTCCGTCTCTATACCCCATTCTATGTCGAAATGGTAAAAATAGATTCTGCGGGATAATTCCGGGAACCACCGAGAGAGCATGCGCTTGGAATCACGGGATTTATGGGTCCAACGATCTCTAAAAGGAATCTGGGAAACAAAGATTCATCGCTATCCAATACTGTAAGACAGACGGAAGAAGTAAGGCTGAGATATAAAACTAAGATGTAAAAAATTTATATATTTATGAGTGACAATATTAGAGATACCTATAGAATAATCACAGGTTTATGAATTCAATGATATCGAAGATGTTTGAATCGATAATTTTGATAAACTTGTCAATCGAAAGAGTTAAAAAGTGAATAATAGAACGAGACAAATGTACAAAGGTATAATATACAAATTTAAAAATGTTAAAACCGCTTAAAGAGCTAGCTTAAAGAATGAAAGATTTATAATACACGAGAAGTTTGTAGAATAAAAAAGGAATAAATTTAAAAAGATGTGAAATGTTTATGCAATTAATATATTTAACAGCCTTGCTCCCCAAGTCTTTTCCTCTAAATCTTTCGGAAATTTCGGTAGCCTTAAATCAAACAATTTGAAATTTTTCAGTGTTTCGACATCAAGTTCTCGTGATCGACGAGATCCAACATTCATTACCCCTTATTGCGTGCACGAAAATACGCGCGGTTATTCGCGTTTCCGCCCCGCAATCTGTCGAATTCGTATGCCAGCTTTGTTTTCCTGCGCTTCCTGCGCTCTCTCGGGCGCACAGGGTCGACGATCCTCCTCCGGAGGATGATTATTAAGCGCGGTCGCGTTGCGTGGACCTTCGGTAAACGGCCGCGGTTCGTGCAGCAAAGTGCACTGACCGCAGATAGAAACACGTGGACGCGGGCCGCGTCCGCCGGCAGGCGGCTAGAGGGTGTGGGAAGGAGAGGTCCGGGTCGAGGGGTGGGGTGTCGGGCCCCGGAGGGAGCTGGAAGGGCCCGGTGATTTTAACCGAGGCCTTCGCACCGCCGCCGTGCTCGGCTCGCCGCACCGGCATGGCAGGAGCGATTTTGCGAAACGCTTAACGAAGCACCGTGCCGCACCGTGCCGCGCCGCCGCTTGTTCGTTGACTCGCCGCCGTCGGTTGATTTTGTACATAAAAGATAGTAATGAGTAAGGACAAACGATACGCCTTAAACGATAACGGTACGTCGATTCAAACGGTAAAAGACATTCTTTGGCCTTTTAGAGATTGACAATACTATGGACTATAATATTGCTCGGAAACTAATCGCGAATATCTGGAAATAATAATTTGGAAAATGTAATTAAATTTACTAAAAAGTAATTAATATAAAAATAACATTTTTAGTTAAAAATCTATCTCGAATAAAAAAAAAATTAATGATATAATCTCTCGATATGTATTAATTAATTAATGTTAATTTCAATAATTAATTAATATCGAATAAGAAAGTAATACTTTAAAAAATTCATTGAATAAGGAGTGAAATCATAATGGAAGAATGTGTTTTACTGAATTACGACATCAAACTATTTCAGGTGTTATACAGATATACTTTTAATATTTTGAATCATATGATTATTATGATTCGACCATAATAAGCCGTGCGTGTCTCTGTCATTATATAAAACTTGAAAATAAATTAGAGACTAAATTAGGAGAGACTGATGAAAAAAAATTTCGTTATCCGAGCGCAACGTGAACGATTCGTTGCACGCGATGAGAGCTTATCAGGACGCGCATCGGCTCGCATAAAACCAAACATCCGCAAATCGGAATCGTACTCACGCACGCACGCGAGCACGCATAAAAAGCTTAACGGAAAACGGTATAAAACTAGCGGGAATCCACAATTCTAACCCACTCGCCTTGATTCATGCGGAAAGTCAATGGCTGTTTTGGCCCGATTTACTTCTACGAATTCGATCATGCGACGCGAAATGCATTTTTAAATCAAGTGTCGATTTTTATCTTTCGGTTCGATCCAATCAAATTGAGAAGAGAAGAAAATATCGTATTTTTATTAATGTTTTTTGAAAGGTGCTTAATAATTCTTAATAAGTAAAATTTTTTTTATATTCTGAGATAATAAATTTATCCTATTTACTAAATATAAATTATAGATTCAAATATTACTATAGATTGAAATATAATTTATAGATTCATGATTTTACATTTTATAAAATATACATTTTAATTTTTACTTTGTTCATTATAACAAAAGTATTTTATGTTTAACATTTTCTTAAACACTCCATACCATATGTTCCTTATATCTCTTTAAATTAATAATAAATCAGTTTATAAATTAATTATAGAATTATTCTTGTTTATTTACACTGATATAGCTTAATAATTTGTCACATTTCAGTGCCTAATGATTTTTGTAATTAAACTTAACTCAAGTTTTCGACCGAAATAAATCGAATCTAAATATAACAACACATATCGTTCCGGGACATCATGTTTGTGGACGAAAATAGAAGTTCATCCACGACGCGTCAAGAATTTTAATTTGGAATAGGCAGAGTTTATTATCTCCGCGCCAGAAGCGTGTTACCCCTCCTTTCTCCTTCGCCCCTTTCTCCGTTGTCCTTTGTACGCCTTCCTAACCACGCTAGTTCTCTATCGCTGTGACGTAATACCGCAAGGTCTTACGGTATCTCCGGCAAACGGGCCCACATTACGTGAGTATCCGTACACGCGACCCGCATATACGTAAGTACCTGCGTAGAAGAAGATCCGCTAACCGTTGCTTCTCGCGTATCCTTCTTCAAAGCTCGTTTGAATCATTCAGGTACAGTATCATGGATTTAAAAAAATATTAAAGAGAAATAGAGATTGTGTACTTAAAAAAGAATATTCATTTTCACAAAATTTTATTTTCTTACAAGCTAATAATTATTTCAATTTCTACATGTACCTACTCTTTGACAAAAAACTAATTATAATACAAAGAATTAATCAAGAATATTTTAAGAGTAATGAACGACAATTAATTTACATTTGATATGATTTATATTTATAATAATGCTTAAAGAAAATGTTATTTCTTTTAATTTAAAATACTAAAAATATATCAATTTAAGACAAAAAAATAATTTTAATATATAATAGCAACAGAAAGAAAAAGTATTTCTCCCACGTAATATATAATTCTGATGAAGCGCACCCCCCCCCCCCCCCAGTTCTCTCTGGATCAATGGTCGCGCCGGTCGCGCGGCGAGTTCATCGGCTGCTGTTGTTCAGCGATCGCATCGAGCGCGGCTGTCCGACAGGTGAGCGGCGCGGCACACGTACGCGCTTATACACATGTGAGATACAGTTAGAAGTACCGTTTCTGAAAATGCAACGGCTCGCGTCTCTGCGCCGGGCCTCCACCGTCCGTGCCCGGTGGAGAGGGCCCATTTCGCGCGCGGCTCCCCTCCGCGGCTCGCATCCCGGACACGGTTTCAATGCGAAACGGACACGCTTAAATCGCAGATCCATTCGAAAGGGTGTGCGATAACGGTAGCGCGATATTCGCCGAGCCGTTCGATAAAGGCGCCACGTAAAAAGATCTTCGAAGAAAACGGCGAATTGATTGTCGAAATTAAAAACTGGCGTTAAGAGATTTTATGGTTGTTTACTCTTCCTTGCCTTTGTGAATTACAAGCAAGTGCGGTAGACTTCTCTCTAAATTATCATAACAATTATGTAATAAAAATTATCATTGTAACATAATAATTTAACAAAAATCTCAATTATACAAAATTCTTTCAGCAGTATTTATCTTCAAGTAGAAAGAAATATTTCAGAATTTTTATGATTTTCGTCGAAAATGTGATGCCGTCTCTCTTTGCTCTGTCGATTATTTATTAACAAAAGCTTAAACATTTAGTAAGGAATCGTTACCCTCAGTGTTTAGATTGTGCCCGTCATCCGAATGCCCGAATGCCCGAAAGAAAAATGGAAAAAATACGGCAAATTATGCGCGGCAAACAAAGACAGCCAGCATCGTGCATCCTGTCCTATCGTTTATCAGGTTTATCCGATAAGACGAGCTATCCTCCGACGAAGTCGGGCTAGTAACGCGATCGAAGGAAGGGTAGCCAAGTCGCACGGGAGTCGCACATGCGCAACGTGCACCACCCCCGAATCGTCCAAAGGCCAGTTTACGCTAGTTCATCCACATTCATTGAAGAACTTCCGGCGCGTAATTTAACCCCGTATTTCTCTCTTTCTCTTTCCAAGCTACTTCAATATTGAGTATAATTCTATTTTAAATGAATATGTTGAAAAGTACTTTTAATATAAAAAAATGTTCAATATAAAAATGCTATATTTTAAATATCTCATTTAATTGCGATTCATCGCAATGGACAAATAAATTACGTAAGACAATGAAATACATATTAATAATATATGTAGAAGTGCAGTAATAAATATAGAACATTAATAAAATATAAATATAATACATAAATAATAATTTCTTGTATAAAGGCATAATATATATATAATACGAGTAATAATATATAAGGTAATAATATATTAATTTTCATGAAAAAATTCATTATACACATGCCTGGGGTAAGATACTGTTACATCATCATTACCAACAATTTTTATTCACTTACGTTGCTATTAAGCCTTCTTATATTACTTCATCCCTCTTGCTTATCTCCCTTTTGGACTATACATCACAACATAAATAATGATCTCAGCGTGAGGAAAGAGCCCCTTCCACCTCGTCATAAATATTACGCAGGGTTTGAAACTCCCCTCGCCTAGCTAGCGTAACCCGGGCGGGGTGGCGGTGGCGAGGGCTCCGGGGGCGCAACGGGGTTGCTCGGGGGCGAGTCAAGTTCTCGGATGCCATCTGGTGGTGGTCGGTGCAAGCAGGAGCCACTGGTGCCCCGTAAAGTGCATAGCGCCGAAACGAAAGGAAGGCAGGAAGAAGGGAAGGTTGAGCCCGGGACGAGAGGACCTGACAAGTCTCCTCCTCAACGAAATCTAACCCCGGGAGCGCGCGGGGTTACTCATCACGCGCGCGATATTCGTTCACATTGCCAGCGAGGAAAAAAAGTAACGTGCCTTCCTTCGCGACGAGAGCTGCGGAGCCCTCCGCTTCCATCATCGGCGATCACGACACGGGCGAGCACGATGTGAAACCACGAGGCGCTCGAACAAAATCCCGGAGCCTGTCGTGCTTTCCCGCAGGGATTATCTTCGAAAACGTTCGAGTGCATCAGCTTATTCCTTCCGACCTCAACTTCGATGATCAAGCAGACCTGGACACTTTGACATCTGACACGAGAAAACGCTTAAACACTGACAGAAGATGGTCCCTGTCGACGATCAACGGGGGTAAAGCATTCGCGAGGAAGATAACTACAATCGTATATACCTTCGATGATATCTGGACGCAACGAACGAGAAGTACGAGTGATTCGCGATGTGGGTGTCCTCGGCAGTGTGGTGAGATCGGTCCAGAATGTCAGTGATCGACAAAATCGACGAAGGGAAAGCATATCGCGGCACGGATAGCCATCGACGACCGATGGCAGCATTTCGTCGCGAGTGTTAAAAGTATCTTATCGCGTGCGAGGCTAGCGGTCGCGGTGGTGGCGAGATATCGACCGCAGCCGTCGAATTAATCGTCGAAGGTCGCGAGCACCGCCTCGCACACTTCGTTGCCCTTCGCTCAAGCCGATCGACGATCCGACGCTCGCCAAATCTCCATCCATCTCAATGAAAACCAAACCGATGACCATGATCCAACATGGATCTTCAAACATCTGCCGATTTACGGATCGCACGAAATCACGAGCTCCTTCTTTGAGCCGCTATCCGTTCTCTTCGATCTTTCTCGATTCACCTTTAATAGCGTAGATCAAACGATTCCCAATTCTAGCAATTTTTTAGAAAACGTCACTCGTGTTAGTTCGTCATAGTCATCACAAATAACCGAGCAATAAACAGCTTATGAATGAAAGTGAAGTGTGAAACTGTCCTCGTGCGTTCATCTTCTTTAAGTATGCCTGTTCGTAACTCACAATAGAGACCAGCCGATGCCCCATGCGCTGTACTTCGGCTACGCAACTTCGCAAAAGAATGTAATCATTAAAATCGATTCCAAACGTTACGTAATATAAAATCGATGTCAACACGAATACAAAATCGTTATATTTACGAACGATCGATCGCTACCGACAGCTCGACGTATAGGCTTCAAAGTTTTTCTTTCGCGTTTCGGCGATAGTGCCTGCACTTCCTTATCCACACGGTCGGACAGATCGAACTCGCACCGGGTCTAAGGACTACGACCGCCACGCTCCCTCGCTGTGTTTCGAGGCTGCGCGCGAGGAAACGCGTGGTTGAATCGAAGCGACCCTCTCCGAACGAGACCCACTGACCTATCGACTCGACGGGTTGCCACTCGAGGCCGTTCCAACTACCCCTCTTTCTACACTTTCTATCCTGATGTTTGTTTTTGTTACTCTTATAGCTTTTCGATCCAACCTACGACTTCTTGACTTCTCCCACTTTCGAACGCATCAAAAAAGTCACTCGCTTCATTCATAAGCATATAAATGACGCTTCTTCCTTTAATGTCTTAAACTAAAAACCGTTGACCAAGAGATTTTAGTGTGCACGGCGATACTAAACAATCCTTTAAAAATTGCCTCTTTGATTCCTTGTCATCACTTCCACGTCCCTTTTTGAGCTGACAAACCTGATCGCTTGGATCCTACGAAAATGAACCGAAGCAAATGTTGGATCGCACATGGCGAAAAATCGATCAGAAGCAGATGCACCGAGCTCGATATTCTTTCCGACATCGGCGCGTTGTGTCAACGTATTGCAAAAGCGTATCGATACGAGCCAGTAATGACGATCTAAGTGAACGTAACGAAATAGATAAATATTATCAATATAAAGCAACCAGTCAACGAAAAACAACAAGAGATTAAGAGTAAGAAGGAAATATTGCGCGCTTCACGAAGGAAGATGCTTTAAAGAGGTTTTCTCTTTAAACGCCGAGAGACAATGATTCCGACGAAGAAATGCAAATAAATCCCGCAATAATCCGCACATAAATATTTACGTATAGACGAGAGAGTATAATGGGATAGAAGTCCGAAGCGAGTACTCGAGTAATCTCGAAAGTGACTGACTCTATTCAAACTGACTGTCCGATTCATTCATCCCCATCTCGTTGCTGGCCTCAACGAAACGCAACAACAACGACGCTGTCTTCGACAGTCATCATACGTAGAGATGCCATAACTCGTATTAAGGTATTTTTACTGAAAGCAAATATCCGCGCGAAAAAAATGGCTGAAAGCGCAGCGAGTCCGGGCAACATGCATGCGAACAGTCCGCAACAGCAACAGCAGCAGCAGCAACAACAACAACCACCACCACAGCAGCCGCAGCCGCAGCAGCAGCAGCAACAGCAGCAGCAACAACAACAGCAAACGCAACAACCTCCAGATATAAGCAGTTCACAGCTAACATCTCCACCGATCACGGGAACAGGTATGACACTGACATACTGACAATGAATAAGAAAAATCGTGCGAGATTTTATTTGATTTTAATGTCTGCAGCAGTTCATTTTTTTTTGTTATTGCTAAATTGTAGAGAATCAAAAAATCAAGCAATTTTAATTTGCATTAGAAACTACAGCAAAAAAAAGAGAATGCAAATTATTAAAAATAATAATAGTGTTAAAGAATTAGAAATGTTATTTTATCATATACGCTTTTTATCAAAGCGCACAAAAACAAATGTTGAAAGAATAAAAGAAAAGTTAAGAAACTTTTTATAATATTTTTTAGATACGTTAGCTCCGATGTACATCTATATTATTTCGACGATACATCTCAATTCTCAATGTTAAATTGTATTAGTTAATTTTCAATTGTGAAAGCTTAGCTTAAATCTTCGCGGAAAAAGGACCAATCTTTCTCAAAGCAATCGTATCAAACATTTCGTGGGCAAACGTGCTAATCTTCTATTACTTATATGTCAGCCAAATGTTCCGTATTTCGAGCTGTCTTCTAAAATCGTTTGTATACCGTGTGAAGAACGGCTCCACGATCGGATCCACGATCTCGCTCGCGTAATCACGTAATCGCGTTGGCGTAACGCCGGGCCATTACTCCGCCAGCAGCACGCGAATCGCGCGGCGAGACGGAGCGGCTCTCGCGATGCGCCGGTACTCGCTCGGATGACGGGGGACGGAGTCGTGTATCGGCTGCGGCGCGGCGGCGCGGCAACGGCGGCAGCGGCGGCGATGACGGCGGCGGTGACGGAGAAAGGAGCAGCGTGCGCAACGAGCGAGAAGGAGAGAGCGCGAATCGCGTTAGCGGATCTGTCGGTCGAGTAACGGAACGCCGGCGAGTACCGCTAGCACCGGCTCTGACGCGGTTACCGGACACCGTTACTTCGCCGCTGCACGAGTAGCCCCCACGTGCCTCTCTCGTCATCCTCGTCGCGCTCGTTGGAAAGTACCCTCACGGGCGAGGAGAGGGTAATTTGATGGACACGGATATACGAAAAGATGGAGGTGGCCCGATGGGAAAATTCAACTTAGTTATGCAAGGAGGCATCGAGACGTGATCTTTTTTCGCTTTAATATATTGTTCGTCCTATAATATCTTCGTCCTATATTTTTGGATCGCCTAGATATCGAGAATTACAGATGGAAGAGTGGTTGAAAAAGAAATGAGCTTCTTATCGAAATCGACTTTTATAATTTTTGTTAAAATAAGAATGCGACTTACGCGCGCATAAGACGTGTGAGCGTTACAATTATTAAAATTTGAATTAGTAAACTAATAATATTGATTATATGCATTCACATTTACAAGAATAATTTAGGCTGTACTCTGATATTCACTATGCCAGTTGCTAAAAATCTATAATGCACGTAATGTGTGCATTGTAAAATCTATAAGCACTGACAATATAAATATCGGAATGCAGCTTTAATAATAATTAGCACGACAAAGTAACGCTGAGTTCTTCCTGTATAAATATTGTCAAATTCTTGGATATTTAAAACTTAAAATAAGTGAAGTTTTATTATTTTCCTTTAAAAGCACTGCCGACGGGAAAAGCTATTATAACCATGTGAAATGTTCAATAGTTCTATATTGAAACTGGATGCAAACTATTGATTTTCTTCATATATTTTAGACTGTTATTAGAATATCATATCCGGTTTCCACTCATTTTCCATGGACTACAAAAGTAATGGTTAGCGAAAGATAGAGATATTCCTTTTAATAGGTGCGGATAAATATTATACGTATATCAATTGCTTACAATGTTCTTTATCATGCAAATTAATATATACATTTAAACAAATCCATATTTATATATTTCAAAATTTTAGAAAATATTTCAGAAAACATTTCTAAAATTTCGAAATATGTTATATGTAATTACATTTAAGACGCTAAATATGCATACAGTTTAATGCAAACAAAATTTCCATCTATCAGACATTTAAAAGTAATCAACACTTTCTTGATAAGACTCATAAAACTATATTCAACGGTTGAATTTATATAGCATTCACCGCTACGTTTTATGTCTGAAGATCGTTTAAGCGTCTGTCTGTAGGATGTTGATGTAAATAATCGGCGTTGTGGAGTTAATATTAAAATATAACGGATAAAGAGTCGTACTACAGCGTTACATCAATATCGCCAGCCCGTCTTATATGACGCATTAGTACGTCAATAGTCGGCAACGCATTGATTTTATATGACGTAGCTGCACGTCAATGTGGTCGTTATAGACGCGTGGATTTTACGTGACACAGAGATACTTCTGCCAACGCCATTTAGCGGTAGCTAAACTTTTTTTTCTCCGTCTAGATTATAGCCATCAGCGTTATACGATGTACAAGGAAATGAGTAGTCGGTAAAATTACAGTTAATAGTGTTGCTGAATCCGGCCAATAATAACACATGTCAATAGTCGGAAAGTCTCTGACTATAATTATTACCAACAGCCTGGCAATTATCCGAAGATGATCAGGACGCGGAGAAAATTACCGTCCATTTAATCAGTGCCATCAAACGCGAGTAAACTTGCAGTTCGGCTTAACAGGCGTCATTAATCGAGATCCGCGATCGAGGAAGATCGCGATCACTTTTAAGATGACGTTTATGATGAAAGCTCGTTATCACACGCGGCGTTTGCCTAAACAATAATTAGACACATCGGAGAGCTCGAAAGAAACGTTGCGGCGGTAAAGGGCGTGAATACCGGTTACCCGATGGGTAATTTTTCCTAGTATAGTCACGACGATTACAACAAGGTTCGCGCTACCGTTTCTCGCGCGTTAAAAGCGCCGTTTTGATCGCGCGCGCGCGCGCGCACAGCGCGTAAAATTACCGCGTAACGGAAAAGGCGAGCTACGAGAAAACGTGATCGCGTGCGCGAGCGCGTCCCGCAGGTCTAGGGGTTAGGAGGTCGAGCTCCTTGTCGTTTTACCGTTCGTGTCCGGGAGAACTACCCAGCGCATTCCCCGACGGAGTTGCTATTATCGTTATTATTATTGTTAGCCTCAACTGTGCACCGCATCGACCGGCTCCGTTAACGTGACTGATTGCGAGAATGATGCGATTTAAACCTGACGGTAGCACGACAGGCTCTTGTCGTTATTGTCAGATTCGGATTTTTGCCGTTATTATTAATATTTTTTGAAAAATGGTTATCTTTTATTTTTTATCAATAATTTTGCTGACGTGCTCTTTTTTCCAAGAAATCAATTTACGTAATGCAACGTATTTCATCATTAAAAAATATAAGAGAATTTAATTGTAAAGACGATCTAATAAAAAATGTGTAAATGCACATTTTAATTAAACTTTTTTTTTAAATCTGTGTAAAAGAGATATTGTTAAACATTTTTTCTTTTGCCTTTTTAATGAAAAAAAAATACATCTTCAGATTCTAATTAATTAAAAAGTTTTTAAGATGTAAAGTGCCATTTTAGAATATTTTCTGAATTAGATGAGCATCACAATTATTTAATCGCAATCAGGGAAATTAAAAAAAACTGCTGTCATTTATGGTGTGTTCTCGAATTCTTCAATTTTTAATTTCAACAAATCATTTCTGTATGTAATAAATTAGGTATTAAATCACTCTCAATCGACTTAAATTATACGTGATAAAATTTTAATGTGCGACAAAGTCTTTTTTTTTTAATTTTTTTAAATATTTTAATCAATCACGTCTGTTTAACCCAGCATCATGTTCGTCTGTCGTGTGAGATTTGTGTCTTTAACGAGCTTAATCGAAACTTTACGCGGCAATAATGTCCGGCAGCGAAGCCCCGCATTACATAAATCGCAAGCGACCATGGCATGATCTCGACTTCTTCGTGTAAAATTAGTATCAGGATCTTTTTTTAAACACGTGAAAAATACATTTTTTATTATCATTTAAAACCTCGCATTTCTTTTTTGAATAACACAAAAAAATCTTGATTGCTTATTCATCTAACAAGTTACATGATAAAAAGTTTCAAACTTTTCAACTTTTTCCTCCTCAAATCTCAAAAGAAGAAAATACATAAATAAGATTTCATACATAAGCAATTTTATATTTTCTTTCTTAACTCCATTTTTGTCTGGTCCAGAAAATGAAAGCAGACGTAAAAGCTTTGGCATTTTGAAATTTAAGTTATTATAATAATCAAAAGTCTCTCAAGTTTTAATTCCACGTACTTAGATCTCGCAATCTTCTTAAAAAAAATATCACGAAACAGAAGATAATACGTGTTTCCTTTGATTTACTCTTACCTACGTCGCTGGCAGAAGCTCTCAAAGGCTTTTTTTAATTTCACCCGTCTCTGAATCGTTAAAAGGAAAATTTGCCACTGTCGAGGGCGAAAGAAAACTCACCGCCACAAATACATCGTCGGGCGCGTGGCTCTTCCAGCCCTTGCCGACGGTCTTTAAGTCACAGCCCGCGCGTCCGCTCGTCCTTTTTCTTCCCCCGGAACGTTCGTTCGACGGCTATCCCCGTTCGCGCGCGTACGCGCGTTACGTGGCGCGCGCGACGGCAGTAGGCCAAGGGTTCAACGACCTGCAGCCTTGCAAGGCCGGTCGCGCGTCGGCTACATTCGGCTCTGCCCGACTCGGCCCGACGCGCGACTCTAATCGACTGCCAGCGCTCGGACGGACCAATCGCGCACTCGATCACTCCGCGCGATTCTCGCGAACAGTATCGACTGCGTCGCGTTTGACGACTCGCCGCGAATTTATCGCCGACATTCGTTCTTACCGACGCGGCGGCCGCGGAGGAGCTGCGGGTTGCGGACCATACGGACACCATATCCGTTGCAAGAAATCTGCAAAATATGGTAATACAAGGAGATTTCGTATGATGAATATCATATACGTATACATATGTATGATGATATAAATATGATATATTATTTAATCTTCCAATTACTACGTTTACGCGAGCATTACTTCTGTAGTAACTCACGATATATCACTCATCGTTTA